GTATACTTACCTAAAGATTTGGTGGCAACATTGACCACTGTTGATCAAAGCCTAAGAATTCAAGTTTGCCCATTCTTTTCATTCTTCAGCATAATTAGTATCTCCAGGTGTGATACTTGCTCTAATTCCCAGTTTCTAATTTGAAGCCTACTTGAATTTAGCCTCCTACATTTTCTGGTAATGTGGGCACTTAACTGGAAGGCTTCTAGAAGCTGGAGAAGGCAAGTTGCCCTCTTGCTGGAGGCTGACCACACTTCAAATGATTTGAATTTTTCATAATCCAACTCAACTGGGTAGTAAAAAAAAAATCAACCTCCCTTGTAGATAAGCACTTAACGAAGTCTGCATAAATAACTGAGTTCCATCTGAATGTTTTTGTAACTTGGAAACCAACCATCTGGATTAATGCCAAACTAACCAGATAATTGTTCTAGTTTGCACCTCATTTTAATTGTATCATCCATTACTTTATGGTATTTTGAATGTCTACTCCAGGGTCAGATGACTGCCACAAAACTGCCTGGGCAATTCCCATTATGAGAGACCATTAAGCAGGGCTTCTTGAGGGTGTGGACAGTAGATACTACTGTTTCCATATCTCCTTTGGACATAGCACGGCACCCCATAAACTCATACTCTGGGCTAAAACCTACCTGTTCTCTAGGGCTTGGATATGTATCCAATAGAGAAAAATAAACAATCAATTCTCAAACCCTAGTTACAGCCAACAAAGTACCACTGATTTCTACCTCTTTTACTAATGGGCAAGCCTGATCTAAACCACTGACCTAAAGGTGAAAATATCTGCATTCCATTTGCAGATCTAATTCAGTCTAGCATCCGGGTTAATTATTTAGGAGATAAGCAGTTGCAATCCATCAAACATAGATATGTCACATGCACATTAAATACCTAGACTGAATGCATAAAACACGATTAAGATAAAAGCTTATTAAGTTTATGCATCCTAATCATTGCATTTCTTATTTATGACTTGGGGGATTCCTCCCCACCCCTAGAGTTAGAGGAAATTTTCTTTATGCCTCTGGAGGATCCAGAAGTATGATCAATATCAGAGGCCAACATTACCTTTTAAAACATTAAACTTTTTTCCCCCTTTGGTCAATATGAAAGCTGCCTCATTTGTGACTTATACAGGTAGTCACCACTTACTGGGTTCACTCCTGAGAAATACACCATCCTGACTTTTACTCCTTGAAAAATACTGGCAGGGAGGATGTATATACATGTGATATCGAATACAATTGTACTATAATCCTATCCAAACAAAACCAGCATTTGTGAACTTTCCCAAAGTTAAACATACTTGTTAAAATTTGGGGGGATTAGATATTATGATTTTAGATATTCAAATATTCTTTTTAATTTACTAATGCTTTTGCTATTTGGGAGAGGGGACTCAGAATTAAAACAGAATATAATGCCAAATCTCTTATTCTTAGCCTGGCATGGGAAACATTCTTTGCATTCCAGAACCTAGCTCCAAAACTAATTTTCCAATTTTATGTTCCACCCTTCGCTCCAGCTAGAGTAATCTATTCATTACCCACTAATTAAGGTCTGATTTTATATTAAACCACTACCTCTTGAGTGATTATTATTTGTGGGGTAATGAACTTGACATTCTAACCTGAGTGCCTTCAGTCTTCTTCTCTTCCAATTCTCTTCCAATTCCATCCTTCAAGGCCTACCCTCCCTTCTACGAAGTCCTCCTTGACCACCGTAGTGCACATTAATCTATCTCTCCTTAGAATTCCTATATCTCTTCCTATCATTCCTTTGGCACTTGGCACATTGCCTTTTGCTGTTTGCTAACTTCACATTAGACAAATTCAGTGAATGTTTATTGAGTGTTGTTGCTGTACAGGGTACTGGGTTAAGTACTAGGTATTAAAAAAATGAATCATAGCATCACAGAATTTAGAGATGGAAAGGATTTTAGAGATCATCAATGACCAATCCTGATTGGTCACAAAGGAACAAATTGGAGCCCAGGAATGTCAAGCAACTCACTCAATGTTACACAAGTAATAGATATCACAAATCCAGTACTGTTTCCAAAAAGAAGAAGAAAGAAGAGGAGAAAAAAAGAAAAAAAAAGTAAAATGATTTAGTAGCTTCCTTCAAGTACATTATGATCTAATAGTATCAAATAGAATAGCAAGAAGTCTACAATCCTTATGAAACCTGCATAAATCTTGTCTCCAGAATTAGAGTGCAAGCTCCTTAAGGTAAGGGCCATGTCTTTATAACACTTTATAACATCCCCACATTCTCTTTAACATTATAAGTAAGCATTTGTTTGTTCAACTGAAATATGAAAAGTACCTAAATTAAATGTTCTCCCTACAAAGTTTTGCTAGACAGTCAAAGCTATCTACATATTTGGATGCCATGGGTACCATACTGGGGACCAAGTTGAGAGGCATAGTTAGGGATTATGAAAAACAGAGAAGTCATAGTTCACAATTCAAAAGTGGTCTCCTTTCCACTGCAGGGTTTCTCAGCAATTCCCCTAAGAATTCAGTTCATCTCTCTCTACACAATTTATGGGGAAAGTTATCTGGGTCTACTATGGAGACAAATCTGTGTAGACGATATCTTGAATTTTAGGACAGCCTGAGCACATTCACAGGGTCCCATCATTCTTACCCAATGTATACCTTCCCAAACTATTGGGCCAGTTGTTTATTTATATTTGTACATTTAGAGAAGTCTACTACACTTTGGAGGAGTGTTTATGTGCCATTAGTTAGAGGAAGCCAAGTTGGTGTGTATAAGTTTCTTTGCCTTTGTTCTATTTTGATTTAGGCTTCTGAAAGGGCCAGAGCTTATCAATGGTCTCAGTGGGTTTCTGAAGAATGGAAATATCAGGTTATGTCCTGAACAGCCACAGTCCCATGGACTCTTAAAGTCAAGAGTTTTGTCTTCTCCAACCAGGCCTGTCTTAAGCTGAACTGATCATAAATGGTGGGAGTAGAAAGAGGATGGAAGATGAAGACTGAAAAAATTCACATTTGCCATCTCCTTTCACGTCTATGCATCTTCGCAGAACTCACTTCTCAATCCAGTGAAAGGTCTTGCCATACTGGCAACAGGATATTCCATTTCCCAAATCTTTGTTTTCACCTAGCGTTCTCCATGGGACTACTAGATCCTTACTTTTGCCTCTAACTCCTTTCAAATCAAATCTCAAGTCTACCTCCTTCAGGAGAACTTTCCCGATCCCCTCAGTTGTTAATTCTTCCCCTCTTCTAAAATTTTACTGCTGTTAAGTCATTAAGTTATGTCCGACTCTTCGTGCCCTATGGACCACATTACACCAATACTGTCTATGGAGCTTTCTTGGCAAAGCGACTAGTGTGGTTTGCCGTTTTCTTCTCCAGCAAATCAAGACAAACAGAACCACTTGCCCAGGGTCACAAACTGTAAGTGTCAGAAGCCAAATTTGAATTCAGATCTTCCTGACTCTAGGCCCAGTATTCTATTCACTGGGCCACCTGGCTACCTCCTTCTTCTAAAATAAATTTGAATTTATTTGGTATGCATTTTATACCAACTTACCTGTCTATATATTATTTCTTCCTCACTAGAATGTAAACTCCTTCAGATCAAGCATTGTTAAGATTTTATATTTGTTGCCCTGGTGTCTGGCACATTTTTGTTAGTTTTTCCCCCCAAACCCATGATTTCATTAATGTAGGTAGTTTGGAGCTGGGAATTTCTGCTATCCCTGCAGATCAGCACTTTTCCTATAATTTATAGTTTGAGAGAGTTATCGGGGCGCTGAGAGGTAAAGTTATTTGTCCAAGGTCAGGATTTGTCAGGGCAGGTCTTCAGTTTAGATCTTCATGTCTCCTAGGCTAGTATTTTCACCATTCTACCACACTCCCTCGAACACAGCCAGTACTTAACAAAAGCTTGTTGAATTGAATTAAATTAACTTTAGGACAGAAACTTGAAGTGCCAAGACCACTCACTTGCAACAACCTCGGGAATGATCAGCAAGATTCTAGAGCTTATCAAATTGTAGATATCTGGGTGCTGACCATTATGCTAATGATTTTACACTTAGCACAGACTCTTGCCTGCACCAATCAAGGGATATAGATACACAGAAATCCTAAGGAGCAATGAAATCATTTAGATATGAATTTATGCTGTTGACATAGCCTCTCCCGCCCTCCTCCCCTTCACCCCAGTGAATTTCTCTTCCTTATTATATTTGGCCTTGGCACATACTAAAATAAATTTATATTAAAATGGACACTTTGTCAAGTGATGGTGAGAAACTAGGCCAGGGTACTAAACAAACCCACAGCTAAAACACAGGATAGATAATGCATACAGAAGCTTTTCAGAGTTGCTTGTGCCAATTAAACTAATATAGTAAAGAATGAGTAGAATTTGCTTGCCCCCATATTACAGATTTATTTGGTAGAGTCTAATCCAAATCCAATCATCATTTTCATCATTTTTCCCTCTAAACTGAAGTTATAGAAGAGTTACATCACAGTATCATGGATTTAGAATTGATAGGGGCCTCAGAGATCATTTCTCCTAAATCCTTTCATTTTGCATATCATGAAACTGAGGACCAGAGAGCAGAAATGAATTCCCAAGATCACATTGGTAGAAATAGAGCCAACATTTGAACTTAAGTCTTTTGATTCCAATACAATTCAGATCTTTCACCTGGTTGGGATCAATTTAGTCATAAAAAAAAACCTCAATAAATACCCCGTGTTCCCAACAGAAATCATTGTGGGGAGGGTGTGTGGGAGGGAAGCTCTATTAAGAAATGACGAAGATCATATGGAGCATTCTTCAAGCAACCTATCTTCTGCTTGAAGAATTTCTTTGTACTGTATCTTGGCCTGAATACTTAAGCTTGGCAAATGACGCTTTTGTTTCGGAAGGAGGTGTGTTTTAAAAATAAATTAAACTAAGTTTCTCTCTTCATAAAGAATATTACTCACCAATAACGCTGAGCTCTGCACTAGCAAAAATAATTCCATGTCTGTTTTCAGCCACACATTGATACATGCCTGCATCAGTGAGGTTCACGGTGGTTATGTTTAGTGTCCCGTGCTCGATTTGAATTGTGTCCTGTAAAAACACCAAGAAGTAAAAATATAACCCTCTACAAATCAGGCCTTGAAACCATCATACTCTATATCATCTTGAGGGGGACAAAACAAGAAGAAAATGGCAGTCATACAAGCAATTTACATCTCATGATCTATTTGTCTGTCAGCTGAATTTGTGTCAGGTCAGATGCTAAATGGAATCACCAGTACATCAGCTGGTAAATGGAATTTAAATTGTAGTACTCTCCTGAGTTCTCATTGATTTAATACTGAAACCATTCAGATTAATATCCCCTCCAAGTAGATGAACGTGAAATTTAAAATGCTTTCCTGTTCTCAGGTTCTGGACGAGCTTGGAAAAAACGCAGCCAACTCTACCGTCTAGGGCATTTAAAACACTCAGATTATTGGAGGGCATGACTTCGAAGGTTAATAGGAATGTAATCATCTCAGATGGTGTAGAGAGAAACAGTTAATATGGGCTGAAGTTTACCAAAAAAAAGTCTGTGTTAATAATTTAATGGTCCCTTACTTTATTTCTGCCACTAACATGATTTAAGTTCGGGACCATCTGCTGGTGGCCAACACAAAGCATGTAAAATTAGTGTGTGGAACAAAAGACTCAAGTCTCGTTTATCAGCCCAAGGATACGTGATATGTGTTATTCATTTTCATAAGTGCAAAAAAGTAGTCCCCCCTCCCCTTCCCTAGAGACCTGCCATTTAAAAAATAAATAAATAACATGAAGAAAACATTGGATTTTGCCTTGCTGTAGGGGGGCAATTTAGTGCAGGTAGACACTTATTAGGTTTTGATCAAATCTAGGCATCCATGTTCCCTTGCATTAAGCAAAGGGAGAAAAATGCCACTACCTTCATACCTTCACGGCAGCCATTTGTTTTCGTTTGGCTTTATAATTGAGAGAATCATGGGACTGACAGGATGCCCTCTGGTGAAAGGAAGGGAGAGTGGGGGGGGGCAATGGAAAGTGAAACAATTCTTTCTCTTTCCTTTCTTTTGTGTAGCATTAATCTTTAGGCTGTTCTTCATGCCATTGCTTAGAGCTGAGCCCTTTCCCTGGGTGGCCTACGTGGGAAAAAATTCCAATGTGAAAAATTGGCTCGCTCCTCAAGACCCAAGGAAATGTCAAATTTCCTTTAACTTTTGAAGTTCGGTTTGAAAATATAGCATAGGAAATTAAATCGGGACAATCGTTCTTCACCCTAAGGCTCCTTGATTTCATTTTGGGATCTTTCATTGGGGCCTCCTTAAATTTCGATTTCCATTCTAAATATTATCACACCAATTTTTCTCTGCCTAGAAAGTGATATGTGCTGTAGTCAAATGCAAAAGAACTTAGATTCTTCTTTCCGGACCCCCCTCTCTCCATATAAAGCTTTGTCTTCACTTACCTGTTTATATATTTTGTTTGTTTTTTCCTTTTAAACGAGTTCTTATTAAGTACCTGCTATGTGCCTGGCATTGTGTTAGGTGGTTTACCAATATTATCTCATCCAACAACTCAGAGAAGTAGGTTCTATTATTATCTCTATTTTAGAGAGGAGGCACACAGAGGTTAAGTGACTTGCCCAAGGTCACACAGCTAGTGAGTGTCTGAGGTCACATTTGAACTTAGGTCCTTTTGATTCCAGGCCCAGCACTCTACTTTGCTACCTACCTGCCATCAAGTTATATATTTAAAAAAGAAAAAAAGGTAAGCCTCTTGAGGGCATGGATTATTTTCCAATCTTGATTTTGTTTCTTCTGTGCCCAGAACAATGTTTTTGACAGAGGATATGCAAACCAATGCAATTTCATTGATGTGGGGAACTCTCAGTATGGAATCTTCCTTCACCGATGTAGATTGGAAACCCATCTCTATCTTATATGCCTAGGGCACTTCTCATTGACATGCCCATGATCGAACAGTTAGTTGGTCTAAGAAACAAAACTTGAACTCAGATTATCATAACTCTAAGGCCAGCTGTCCATCTGCTCCATCATGTTATTTCTCACTTTGCATCCTTCATGCAACCAACCAGTTAATATCAAGCACCTACACGTCCAGGATCTTTAGTACCATCATTCACTTTCTCTGTTGCCATCATGTCAGTTGTGGATACTGGTAATGCCATGTGATTCCTCCATTATCAAAAAAGTATGGCAGTATTAAGTATTAAACTTGCCATCCACACAACCATTGTTATCAATGTTCTTACCTGAGTTAGCAATGGTTCACCATTTTTTAGCCACCTGTATGTAGGCTTTGGTCTCCCATTTGCTTTGCACTCCCAAAAGATGCTTTCCTCAATGGCCACATGGATATCATTTATTTTTTGGATCCAGTTAGGCTGAGCTACAGTAATTAAAAAAGTAAAAAGAAGCCAAAAACTCATGAGAAGAAGTCAGTTAAACATTATGCAATCTTTTTCATTACCTGCATTCTCTTGGATGACATTTCATAGAATGATGAAGGTCAAAGTTACTTGAATATTAGTTCAGGGGCCCATTTTCCTGCTTCCTAAGATGATGGTACCTCAGTCCAGGCCCCCTGTGTCTGGACTGTGTGAGCAGTTAGGTGAGAAGGAGGTAGTTGTACTAGCTACCGTCAACAAATAACAACCCTGAGGCATATATGCACATGTAGGAGTGTTTATGCATGTATTCTTATGTTCAGCCTGGAAAAATCATCATCACCCCCCAAATTCATGGAGCTATCATAAATGTGCATATGCCTAAGCATCTATATGTGATACAAACACACTACTATGCATGTGATACATACATGCTTATACACACAGATACATATATTCTTATATATACAGTATATACCAATATATTCAGTTTGGAAAATTCACCATCATTTCCAAAAATAAGATACATAATGCTGACCCTGCTACCTCTGTATAACCCATAGACTATGAGGAAAAAGCCAGCACTAGATTTGGGGTCAGAGGTCCTGAATTTAAGTTCTAGCCCTCATTCCTTTCCAGGTCGCCCTCAGGGCTTCCTCTCCCATGCCTCAGAAACCTCTTCCTCCCAAAACTTATTCCAGCCCTGGAATTCACAGGTTAGCAGTCTCTGCCCCTGAGACCTCCTCTTCTCATGGGATGGCTCTTCCCAGAACCTCCATTTCAGAGGGGTGCCCAGGCCTGCCATCGCTCACTCCTCTCCAGGCTATAGTTTGGAATTTCTCCACCTTTCTGTCTCACTAGGGATCTTTGCCTCCTTCTACCCCACTTTTGCTTCTTTTTCTTTATCATCTTCCCCCTTTAGAATGTGAGCTTTGTAAGGGCAGGGGCTGTCTTTCTATATTCTGGGTGCTTAGCACATGGTAAACCCTTAATAAAAGCTTGTTGACTGACTAGCCAGCTCTGCACCTAACTTTCCATGGGACTCCGGGCAGGTCATTTTACTTCTAGGCCTCAGTTTCATCATCTGTAAAATGAAAGACTTGGATGAAATGATTTTTAGATTTTCCTTCTAGCTCCAAAGCTATGAACTGACCTGACTCTTTCATTCAAATTTTCATTCAACCTATCACCCAGGTAATTGTTTACCTGGGTTTGAAATACTGCACGGGCATAGCCTTGTATCCTGTCACTTTCTAGGGCCATGGCTGACTTAGAATCCTCCCGCACTTGTTGGCGTTTTCAGACCCATGCCTCCCATGGCAACCTTAGTGTAGATCTTGAGTCCTCTTTCTCCAAGTATCCAATCAATAGCCAAATTTTCCTAATTTTATCTCCACATTTTCTACATATGTCCCCTCCTTTTCACTCTCACAACCACCATTCAGGGTTGACCCATAGGCAGTTCCTGGAAATGACTAACAATGCCACCTCGGAATTGTTCTATCATTTCATCTTTAAAAAATAATTAACATTATAACAGGCTTCCATTTTTCATAGGGCTTCTTTTCTGGGAAAAATAAAATCATGAGCGTCAGAAATCCAGTTCCTTGGTTGCTTTTTGTTTCTGTCTACATTTGCAATGGTACAGTAGAGGCAGAATGGGTTAGCAGACGAGTCAAGAGGACTTAGCTTCATATACCATCTGACATACTTATAGTTGTAGGGACAACTAGCCTCCCAGCCTCAGTTTCCTCATTTGTAAAATGGGGAATCTGATAGCACTTAGAAGACAAGGTAGTTAGGTGGCTCCAGTGAGATAATGTATGTAAAGCCCTGAATACGTTCAAGCACAACACTAATATTACCTATTGGTTGTAGTAAGCAGCAGAAGAAACACCCTCTGGGGCACTGGAAAAGCTAGATTCAAGTCCCAACTCTGCCCTTAATTGCTTGTATGTCCTTGAGTATATCAATTTTGCTCCCTGGCCCAGTTTTCTAATTTGCAAAAAAGAGGATTAATCGAACAAGGGATTTTTAACCTGGGGTACATATCTTTCAGAGTGTTTGTGAACTTGGACAGGAGAAAATTCCATCTTATTCCAGTATAAGTTATTTCCTTTATAATTCTATGTATTTTATGCTTTGTGTGATTTCATAAGCATTATTCTGATAAGGAATCCATAGGTAAATGGTCCAGGATATATGAAAAAAGGTTAAGAACGCCTGAATCTAACAAAGGCATTTATTCAATTGTTCTAAGTAAAGAGGGATTGTTAATTCCAGGTTCCATATGATAACTTTATGCATTTGAAGACAGCTACATCATTAACCAACACATGATTTCCTCTGCCAAGGCTAGTGGGCTGATCAGATATTCTTGAGGAGTAGCTTTTGAGGTCACAGACAATGGAGAATAATGTTGTGAATTATCAGAATGATGGCTGTTATTTTTGGAACGTTAATTGCTCACATTATTCCAGTAGCGTAACACCTACCAGTGTACACCTATTAGTTAGCAATTAGAGCCCAGTATTACTTGGGAAAAGCTCATCAGGCTTCATTTCAGAGTATTTGTAAACTTGGATGGGGAAATTCCATATTATTCCTATATAATTTGTTTCTTTTGGAATCCTATGTTTTATATGATTTTAAAAACATTATTCTGAGAATCATTTAACAGATTTGTAACTGTTTTTGTCTTCCCCATCTTTACTAGTGTGATTTCAGATATGCATGTCCACAATTTAGTTCAAAGGAAAAAAGACTAGTACTAAGATGGAATCAATGTATCTTCCCTTTTCTGATAATACCCAAGCATGGAAATAATTTAGCAAATAACACTGCCAGTAGAGGTCTCCAGGCTTCGCATAATGTTGCTTTAGCCTTTTTTCTTCTATAATCAGATAAGAAAATTTCATGTTTTGCAAAGAGCCAAAACACAATTTTGTAAATCCCTTTCAGATTGAGATGATGTGTAATTGCAGATGAAAGAAGGTTGAAAGCATAGGCTTTGGAAGAACAAAAAACAAAAAAACAAAACCCAAAAAGCATCAATAAATATTAGCTTGAATTGGGGAAAGAGGGTTTATAGCCATTAGCCTAAAACATGCCCAAATCTGTCATCGTTCTCTTTCTTCCTATTGCTAATCCAAAGGGAGTTCACTAGGTAGATACCTTTTTGTGCTCTGTTTAGGGAATTTGATGCATAACCCTGTTCTGGCTGATGGCAGATATCCGCCTAATTTTTCATGCAACCCATTGAATATTTACCCCCTGCAGAGTCTGTAAAAAACAAGGCAAACAAGAAAAGCTGCCGAAGTTTGAATGGAATACTAAACACAGAATCAAACTTTTCAAAGGGACTTAGAAAACAGAAGGGCGAATGGAACTGTGGAAGCAAAGTCAAGCTGCAATTCAAAAGGAAGCTTCGGCACACCAAAGAGGGCAGGGATGGATTTCAATGGCATGGATTGCCAGTAACATTTCGGCTCATTCATTGTTTACTTTCACAAAGTGGAAAATTGGAAGTAAAAGACCTTGAGATATCAAATGAGGGAAGAAGCTGGAAAGGGTATGAAAAGACCTTGCATAATTCCACCTGATTAAATGCCTTCAACATGCACTCCATTTCATGCAACAAGGTTAGAGAGTTCAAGATCCTCCCAAGGATGCACAATGGCTGCTCTGTGTATTGGTCAAGATAACATCAGTGCCTGACTCACCCCTTGGGAGAATCTTGTAAAATGCTTTCAAAAATTACAAACTTCAAAGACAGAGAGCCATAGTTAAAACGACAATAGACATCATCCTGACAATAGACTGAAGGGGATGAATTCAGCATAATGGAATAATGAATTTGTACACAATTAGGTGTTTACCCCCACTGGTGTTTACTCCTCCTGTGACCTTGGACAAGTTACTGAACCTCTCTGGGCTCCAGTTTCCTGAGCTGTAAAATGAGGAGGTTTGACTCTAGCCTCTGAGCTCTCTTCCAGCTATAGGACTATGATTCAATGAGATAATTGTTTTTTCCTCCACTCCCTCATATTGGCATAGAGGTGATCCTGGATTCTCAAAGGCTTAGCACAATGTCTAACACATTTAATAAATGTTCTACCTAGCTATCTATCCATCTACCTATGCACCTACCTGTCTGATAGCCTTTCTATTTCTTTATACCAGTAGACTGTAGGACAGCTAGGGATAACCCCATGTTTTCAAAAATGGAAAATTGTTTGAGTGGTGGGTGCCGCATACATGATCAAGTGAAATCAGAAGGTTTGGAGGAAAAGACAAGTAGTTGTGTTTGGGATTAAGACTGAAGTACTTGGTAGACACACAGGGAGAGATGTCCTATAACACACAAACACACACACGTATAGGTATACACATGTGTATAAACACATACATGTAGGTGTATGTATACATACGTGTTTACAAAATCAGGGGTGTGATTTTATCAGTGTACAGGGCTGCTCCTGAGGAATTTACTTTAGCAGCTGGCAATTTCTCAACAACTTATAGCCTAGAGAATTGTCTGAGAGCAGAGTAGTTAAATGAGTAGCCCCATCACAGGGCCAGTATTTATCAGAAAGGTCACTTAAACCTCTGTCTTCTTGACAGCAAAGCCAGCTGTCCATCCATTTTACCACATTGTTTCTTTATACTATGAATTATAATATTATAAATCTTAAAGCTCTCTATATTGCATATTATACATGTGTCTTAATAATTAATAATAGTTGTTTATAATTATTTTGCTATAGATTATTATAATAAAGCTTATTAATTATAACTGTAATATTATTTATTAACAACGATGATGATTAATTTACATATAAATAGAGGTATAGAAACAGATGGATAGATGGACAGATGGACAGATAGATTGTACCTTAAGGTTTATAATAATGTTATTATAGAACAAAAAGACAATGTGGTGAAATGGATAGAAAGTGAGCCTTGGAGCCATGAAGACCTGGGTTCAAGTACCGTGTCTGAC